ATAATGAGAGATGTAACTTCAGGCACCAGAGCTACTAAGACCCCCCCTCATGCCCTCCTCTCAGTCCCAGAACCTCCATAAAATATCACGGTGTGAAGGTGTGGAACAACTTACCCCCCTGACATCCGAGCAAAGACTACGCTCCCTTCCTTTAAATCATCTCAAAAATATCTATTGTCGAAGTATTAATATTTCTTGTAACATTTACTATATTTATAGTACCTGCTTATATTGTACCATGAAAACCGTTTTATCGGAAATTATCATGTAAATAGATAAGAAATTACCATTGCAAAAGATATATTTGCCACCCAGACATAATCGTGACAGCTCTGTCCTCTTGTTCCGCCTTAATACAACCCGTGTTGTACTGCTTCCTCTTATCATATTTATGTTTATCAATTTCACTGTACAGTATGTACTGTATATACTTATAATATAAATGTAAAAAAATTAAATAAATAAAAATATAAATAAATAAATAAATAAATAAATAAGTGATAACCGTGGTAAGATGTTGTTATTACCACCAAGCTATGTGTACCATTGATACTAAATGTTACATAATACTTCCTTGATGTACAGTATATATCAGGTGCTCACAAGAGAACTCGCTCTCAGCTGGCTCAGCCATGTTAATATTGTTATTATTATCGACTCTGTATCTGTATTTTCTGGCTAAATAAACTGTTTCAATCAATCAATCAATGCTTCAGGGTCGGTGGTTCAGGAGGAGAGGATGTACGTGGGTGACTGTACTGTGCAGCCAGTCCAAAAAGTATGGTGACCCCCGGACGGCGGAACAATGAAACATTCTGGCAAGACGTAAGAGACTAGGGTTATGGTGGCTCCACAAAGAGAGTGTCACACATGGTAATTAACCACCGCCCTCCTCCCACCCCCTCCTCCCCCCCTCCTCCCCACTGTCCTCTCCCCCGCCACCGTCCTCCTCCCCACCACCCCCCCTCCTCCCCACCACCGTCCTCCTCCCCCCCACCCCCCCCTCCCTCCCCCCACCGCCCTCCTCCCCCACCACCATCCTCCTCCCCACCCACCCCTCCTCCCCACCATCCTCCTCCCCACCACCACCCCTCCTCCCTCCCACCCCCTCCTCCCCCCACCACACCCCTTCTCCCCACCCACCGCCCTCCTCCCCACCCCTCCTCCCCCACCACCGTCCTCCTCCCCGCCACCCCTCCTCCCCACCACAGTCCTCCTTCCCACCCCCCCCTCCTCCCCACCACCGCCCTCCTCCCCACCACCGTCCTCCTCCCCGCCACCCCCTCCTCCCCCACCCCCCCTCCTCCCCACCACAGTCCTCCCCTCCCCCACCACCGTCCTCCTCCCCGCCACCCTCCTCCCCACACCGTCCTCCTCCCCCACCACAGTCCTCCTCCCCCACCACAGTCCTCCTTCCTCGCCACCCCCCCTCCTCCCCACCACCGTCCTCCTCCCACCACCTCCTCCCCAACCCCTCCTCCCACCACCATCCTCCTCCCCTCCACCCCTCCTCCCCACCCACCCCCTCCTCCCCCACCCTCCCCACCACCCCCTCCTCCCCCACCACCTCCTCCCTCCCCCCATCCTCCTCCCCCCCACCCCCTCCTCCCACCATCCTCCCTCCCACCACCGCCCCTCCTCCCCACCATCCTCTCCTCCCCCTCCATCGTCCTCCTCCCCACCACCGTCCTCCTCCCCACCTCATCCTCCCCACCACCCATCCTCCCTCCCCCACCACCGTCCTCCCTCCCCACCACCCTCCTCCCACCACCCCTCTCCCACCATCATCCCCTCCTCCCCGCCACCACCCTCCCCTCTCACCACCGCCCTCCTCCCCACCACCGTCCTCCCTCCCCGCCACCGCCTCCTCCCCCATCCTCCTCCCCGCCACCGCCCCTCCTCCTCACCACCACGCCCTCCCTCCCCACCACCCTCCTCCCCACCACCGTCCTCCTCCCCGCCACCGTCCTCCTCCCCACTCCTCCTCCCCGCCACCGTCCTCCTCCCCACATCCTCCTCCACCACCGCCCTCCCCCCACCACCGCCCTCCTCCCCCACGGCTCCTCCTCCCACCACCGTCCTCCTCCCCTGCCATCCTCCTCCCACCCACCGTCCTCCTCCCCCCACCGTCCTCCCTCCCCACCATCCTCCTCCCACCACCGCCCTCCTCCCACCACCTCCCCTCCCCCCACTCCTCCCCTCCCACCACCGCCCCTCCCTCCCCACCCTCCTCCTCGCCACCACCCTCCTCCTGCCACCGCCCTCCTCCCCACCACCGCCCTCCTCCCCCCACCCTCCTCCTCCCCACCGTCCTCCTCCCCCCCACCCATCCTCCTCCCCCACCCCCTCTCCCTCCCCACCCTCCTCCCTCCTCCTCCCCACCCTCCTCCCCCACCACCTCCCCCCCCCTCCTCCCCACCCCTCCTCCCCCACCACCGCCCTCCTCCCCACCACCCCTCCCCTCCCCCCCCACCACCGCCCTCCTCCCCCACCACCGCCCTCCCTCCCCCACCACCGCCCTCCTCCCACCGCCCTCCTCCCCACCACCGTCCTCCTCCCCGCCACCGCCCTCCCCCACCACCGTCCTCCTCCCCACCCATCCTCCCCTCCCACCACCGTCCTCCTCCCCCGCCACCCCCTCCTCCCACCACCGTCCTCCCTCCCCCACCCACCATCCTCCTCCCCCACCGTCCTCTCCCCACGCCCTCCTCCCCACACCGCCCTCCTCCCCCACCCTCCTCCCCCACCATCCTCCTCCCCACCCATCCTCCTCCCCCACCCACCACCCTCCTCCCACCACCCCCCCCTCCTCCCCACCACCGTCCTCCTCCCCCCACCACCCTCCTCCCCACCACCCCCCCCTCCTCCCCCACCACCGCCCTCCTCCCCACCACCGTCCTCCCCTCCCACCCCATCCTCCTCCCCACCCTCCTCCTCCCCACCACCCCCTCCTCCCACCACCGTCCTCCCCCCCCACCACACCTCCTCCCACCACCGTCCTCCCTCCCCACCACCCTCCTCCCCACCACCGCCCTCCTCCCCACCGTCCCCTCCCTCCCCCTCCCCCCTCCTCCCCACCACCTCCTCCCCACCACCGCCTCCTCCCCACCACCGCCCTCCTCCCCACCACCCCCTCCTCCCCACCACCGTCCTCCTCCCCCACCACCGTCCTCCTCCCCCACCACCGTCCTCCTCCCCGCCACCCCCCTCCTCCCCACCACCGTCCTCCTCCCCACCACCGTCCCTCCTCCCCGCCACCGTCCTCCTCCCCACCACCGCCCTCCTCCCCACCACCGCCCTCCTCCCCACCACCGTCCTCCTCCCCCCACCGTCCTCCTCCCCACCACCGCCCTCCTCCCGCCACCCCCCCCTCCTCCCCACCACCGCCCTCCTCCCCCACCACCGTCCTCCTCCCCGCCACCGTCCTCCTCCCCACCACCGTCCTCCTCCCCGCCACCCCCCTCCTCCCCACCACGTCCTCCTCCCCACCATCGTCCTCCTCCCCGCCGTCCTCCTCCCCACCACTCCCTCCTCCCCACCACCGTCCTCCTCCCCCCACCGTCCTCCTCCCCACCACCGCCCTCCTCCCCACCACCGCCCTCCCCTCCCCACCGTCCTCCTCCCCTGCCATCCTCCTCCCCACCACCTTCTCTCCCCCACCACCGCCCTCCTCCCACCCGTCCTCCTCCCCACCTCCGTCCTCCTCCCCCATCGTCCTCCTCCCCCACCACCGCCCTCCTCCCCCACCGCCCTCCTCCCCACCACCGTCCTCCTCCCACCCACCGTCCTCCTCCCGCCACCGTCCCTCCCCTGGGTCGTCATACACACACCTGGTAGTGCCTCACACAACCCAACTATTTTAACACAATTTCTAATTTCTCATTCTACTGGGTGTGTGTGTGTGTGTGTGTGTGTGTGTGTGTGTGTGTGTGTGTGGGGTGTGTGTGTGTGTGTGTGTGTGTGTGTGTGTGTGTGTGTGGTGTGGTGTGTGTGTGTGTGTGGTGTGTGTGTGTGAACATAAGAACATAAGACTGGAGGAAACAGTAACTATTGGCCCATACTGGACAGTCCCGTTTACACCCAACCCCTATCGCTCATATATCCACCCAACCTGTGTTTGAAGCTATCCAGCGTGTTAGAGTTAATGATGATGTTTGGTAACTTGTTCCACTCGTCCACTACTCTATTTCCAAACCAGTGTTTACCTATCTCGCGCCTAGATCTAAATTTGTCTAATTTAAAACCATTGTTACGAGTTCGCTTCTGGTTGGATAGTTTGAGTACCTTTGTTATATCACCTTTGTTTAGCCCTGACTTCCATTTATACACCTCTATCATGTCGCCCCTTGCTCTACGTCTCTCGAGGGAGTGCAAATTAAGATGCTTTAACCTGTCTCTATACTCAAGGTTCCTAATGCCCGGGATTAGTCTTGTCATTCATTCTCCTCTGAATTCTTTCCAAGGATTCTATATCCATTCTGTAGTACGGTGACCAGAACTGAACTGCGTAATCCAAGTGAGGTCTGAGAAGCGCAAGATATAGTTTTAGGATGACCTCACCAGTTTTGTAACAAATAATTCTTTGTATGAACCTAACCTAACACAAGCCTAACCTAACCTACTTTGTACTGAATAACTGAGGTTTTTTTGTCAAAAGGGAGGAGGGGGGGGGGGCGTTTGTACGGATCCCGGTTTACCCAGAACAGTAATGTTGGCCTCTCAACATCTCCGGGAGGCTAAGGCACTAATATGTTTACGCCAAGAGTGAGGACACGAGCCTAACATATTATTGAGACTCGCTTATGTCACATCACCTTGTATCGTCTGCTATAAATGGTTGAGCCACCTTGAGACTCTTGGACGAGAGCACCACTCACTGTCGCCCTCACATCTGTCGCCACGTAAAGCAACTGTGAAATACAGAGCTGTCAAATAAGATCACCCGAAGATTAGACACCCGCAGCTTATCCCCCCCCCTCCTAAGGGAGTGTGGTACTCACCTAGGAAGGCTGGGGACATGGTCTTGGCCAGGCCGCGGCTCAGGTCGTAAACAAACAGCTCCACCTGGTAGCCGGCGTCCTCATCCCCGTTCATGGCGCGTCTGTCAACAACAACAACGCAGGAGAGTTAATAAAAAAAAAAAATAATAATAATGATAATAATAATAATAATAATAATAATAATAACATATGATGATAATAATAATAACATATGATGATAATAATAATAACAACAGTACTAATTCGAGGGAACACAGGCCTAAAACACAACAATAATGTCCAGCTATACGTATAGCCACAGGGACATGAGAGATGGTTTACATTCACTGGTAAATGGAAGGTCATCTCTCTCTCTCACCTGGGATGGCTCCAAGTAATATAACTACTCCTCATACTATGCAGTGACCTCAACAACAAACAACAATAATGAATTAACAGAGAGAAGCTCGGGAAGCAGCCATCCCCCTGGTACGATGTCCTCCGTAAACTTCCTGACCTCTCGTACGTCTACGGGAAAGGGTCGCGGAAAGGGGACGTGATTGCTGCCCGTATCATCATTGGGTATGACTTTGCTTGGGAGATTGGTATCCCCGCATCCCCTGAGCAACGCTCTTGTGCATTATGCAGAAGACCCGACAGCCGCACCCTTATCCACTACCTCCTAAGATGTCCCCACACACAACGCTTCCGTGACGCCTGCTGGACCACCACTCCACGACCCCCTGACGGAGACACGATGATCCTCCCAATACTGGCCAGATATTTTGTAAATAATATTGATTATGTGTTAAAGGAATATCCTTCCTTCCTTAGGCTTTAGTAAGCCCCTTTATAATATTTATACTGTATATACTTGTCACACTTGCCAGATGCTTCTGGTGTCATTGTACAGGGGTACCTAGTGACAGCACTAGGATCCCGCTTCCTCTATCAAGGAATAAACAATTGAAATTGAATTGAATGAATTAACAATAAAACAACAACAGTCATACGGGAATTAATATGAAAATTAATATCAAATATTAAAAAAAATATTAACAGCATAAATAAAGCTTTAAAGGGAGTTTATTAAGACTATTTAGATTGTCAATATTAATATTATTTTTTTAAAATCTTCCTCAAGTTAATATAATTATTATAATTATTATTACTGATTTGCCTTTGTTTGTAATCTTTTTGTGACTGTTTGTTTGTTTGTTTGTTTGTTTCAAAAGAAAATTAAATTATTTTTATTTCAGGAGATACCAGCTAGTGAATGTGGCCCGACCTTGTGTTGTACACACACACACACACACACACACTCAAAACACACACACACACAACACACACACACACACAAACACACACACACACACACATGGGCAATAACCACAGGGTGGTGGTCGTGGAGTAACAGCAGGGTGGTCGTGGGTAACAACAGGGGTGGTCGTGGGTAACAGCAGGGGTGGTCGTGGAGTATGGCACAGCAGGGTGGTCGTGGGTAACAGAAGTGGTCGTGGATAAATGGGTAACAGCAGGGGGGTCGTGGGTAACAACAGAAGTGGTCGTGGGTAACAGCAGGGAAGTGGTCGTGGGTAACAGCAGGGGTGGTCGTAGGGTAACAGCAGGGGTGGTCGTGGGTAACAGCAGGGGTGGTCGTGGTAACAGGGGTGGTCGTAGTGCAGAGGGGTGGTCGTGGGTAGCAGGGGTGGTCGTGGGCAGCAAGGGGTGGTCGTAGGTAACAGCAGGGGTGGTCGTGTGCTAGGGGTGGTCGTGGGCAGGGGGTGTGGGCAACGAGGTGGTCGTGGGCAGGGGTGGTCGTGGGCAGCAGGGGTGGTCTGGTCGTGGGTGAGGGTGGTCGTGGGCAGCAGGGTGGTCGTGGGCAGCAGGGGGTGGTCGTGGGTAGCAGGGGTGGTCGTGGGTAGCAGGGGTGGTCGTGGGCAGACACGGAAGGTTAACAGCCACCAAGTTTTAATCTAGATTTAGCTGCAGTGTTCCCAGAGCCCGACCTGTTTACTCTGTGTGTTGATAGTGAACTGGTGGTAGCGGTCCCTTATCACACCATCATACCACCATCACCCATCACCACCACATCTCACCACCACCTCTCACCACCACCTCACCACCATCACCACCACATCTACCATCTCACCATCTCACCACCATCTCACCACCACTATCACCACCACTATCACCACCACATCTCTCCACCATCACCATCACTATCACCACCACCATCATCACTACCTCCCGTCACAGGATCAGTATTACACAGACCGTCTTTATGTTTCCCTCAACGGATCACTTTTTCCCCAACACAGTTTTTATGAGCTGAATGTTCACTAGGTGTTGCCGACACTTTGATCTGTACACCAAACATTTATTTCACAGCTGAACACTTTATCCCAGAGCAGAGCAAGAAAGCACCGTCAGGGTGGTGGCCAGTGAGGCGGGACTCTACACAATCTCCTTCATACAATGTTCGCAAATGCCCTCAAAATGGAGGTGTGGCACTACATGGTGGCTGTGGCACTAATGTTAATACTAGTATATATTGTGCACTAGATAGCACTAGTATGGCACTAGATAGTGTGGCACTACATGGTGTGGCACTAGATACTGTAATACTACTCGGTGTGGTACTCCTTGGTGTGGCACTACATGGTGTGGCACTAGATAGTGTGGCACTACATGGTGTGGCACTAGATACTGTAATACTACTCGGTGTGGTACTCCTTGGTGTGGCACTACATGGTGTGGCACTACATGGTATAGTACTTCTTGGTGTGGTACCTGATAACGTGGCACTAGAGGGTGTGGCAATAGATGAGAGATTAGATACGGCAGTACATTTGTGGCACTAGAAGATGGTGGCAGTATGGGAAGGTGTGGCACTAGGGGCATGTGTGATATCATGGCAAGGTGTGAGTACATGGCGTGGCACTACAAGGTGTGGCACTAGAGGGTGTGATAGTACATGGTGTGGCACTAGAGGGATCACCACCCACCTGGAGGGTTGTGTGCTGGGTTGGTCAGCGGAAGCCATAGTCGGGCACTTGGCTCGTGGCTGCCTCCTACCACACTGCCGCGCGCCACCCCCCCACAACACACACACGCCCTCCTCACTCACCAACCCACCACGCGCTCCACCAATCTTGTAAACCTTAAAATCCTTACAGTGCCACTACAACATCCTTACAGTGCCACTACAACATCCTTACAGTGCCACTACAACATCCTTACAGTGCCACTACAACATCCTTACAGTGCCACTACAACATCCTTACAGTGCCACTACAACATCCTTACAGTGCCACTACAACAACCTTACAGTGCCACTACAACATCCTTACAGTGCCACTACAACATCTTACAGTTACTTAACATCTCTACAGTGCCACTACAACATCCTTACAGTGCCACTACAACATCCACAGTGCCACTACAACTCTTACAGTGCTACCTTCACAACATCCTTACAGTGCCACTACAACAACCTTACAGTGCCACTACAACACCTTACAGTGCCACTACAACATCCTTACAGTGCCACTACAACATCCTTACAGTGCCACTACACATTTATCCTTACAGTGCCACTACAACATCCTTACAGTGCCACTACAACATCCTTACAGTGCCACTACAACATCCTTACAGTGCCACTACAACAACCTGAGTGCCACACAAATCCACAGTGCCACTACAACATCCTTACAGTGCCACTACAACATCCTTACAGTGCCACTACAACATCCATAGTCACACATCCTTACAGTGCCACTACAACATCTCTACAGTGCCACTACAACATCCTTACAGTGCCACTACAACATCCTTACAGTGCCACTACAACATCCTTACAGTGCCACTACAACATCCTTACAGTGCCACTACAACATCCTTACAGTGCCACTACAACATCCTTACAGTGCCACTACAACATCCTTCCTTACAGTGCCACTACAACATCCTTATACAGTGCCACTACAACATCCCACAGTGCTACTACAACATCCTACAGTGCTACTACAACATCCTTACACATGGTGCCAAGGAGGTCACACAGGACTCCGACACACTGGCCCACTGTCCACACTCTCTACCTGCATCTCTACCTGCACTCTCTCTCTTCTCTCTCTCTCTCCCTCTCTTGTCTCTCTCAGTACAGTAAATTCAATACAGCACAATGTCAATCAAGTGGTCATTTATACAGCAGTTGAGGAGGAGAGAAAGGGGAGAGGAAAAGGTAAGCATAAAAGGGAGGGGAGGAAAAGGGGTAGTGAAAAGGGGAAGGAAAAAAGGGGAAGGTTAGAGAGGAAAGGGGATAGAAGGTCTCAACCCAACACACGAGGATGTCTGTCTGTTGCTAAATGTTCCTTACCCAACAATTCTTCCTGTCTGTCCCACACTGGCCACCCCATGACCCACATCCTCATCCGCATGACCCACGTCCTCACCCCCCTGAGTCCTCACCCCCCCAGTCCTCACCCACCAGACCACGTCCTCACCCCCCCACCCATCCTCACCCCCCCATGACCCACGTCCTCACCCCACCCACATCCTCACCATGACCCACGTCCTCACCCCCAATGACCCACGTCCCTCACCCCCTGACCCACATCCTCACCCCCTGACCCACGTCCTCACCCCCCTGACCCACGTCCTCACCCCCCCGTCCTCTTACCCACGTCCTCACCCCAATACCTCCCACGTCCTCACCCCTGACCCACGTCCTCCTGACCCACGTCCTCACTGACCCACGTCCTCCCCCCCCTGACCCACGTCCTCCCCACCCTCCTGACCCACGTCCTCACCCCCTGACCCACGTCTCACCCCTGACCCACCCCTGTCCTCACCCCTGACCCACGTCATGACCCACGTCCTCACCCCCCTGACCCCGTACGTCCTCACCCCTGACCCACGTCCTCACCCCCTGACTCCTCCTCACCCCTCACCCCTACCCACGTCCTCACCCCTGACGTCCTCACCCCCTGACCCACGTCCTCACCTGACCCACGTCCTCACCCCTGACCCTCACCCCTGACCCACGTCCTCACCCCCCTGACCCACCTCATCCTCAGTCCTCACCCCACCCACCCGTCCTCACCCCTGACCCCCG